GTGTTAGAGGGGGGGGGAGTGTTGCGCGACAGGGAGTGAGAAAGAGCGGGAGAGTGATTGTGTGGGCGTGCGTATGCATATATGCGCTTGAGGTGTTGTTAGAGTTTATGCTTGTGTCGGTGCGCGTGTGTGTGAGAGGGATGCCGCCATGAATTGCACAGCGCCGTTTAATCTTGGACAGCGATGGGAGTGTTGTCACCCAAGATGGTCAAAACATTGGATTGAGGGTCAACCCCTTGGCCATGCGTCGAACGCTCAACCCCAAACGCCGCCCGCGCGTCCTCCTGACCCAGGGAGAGTGCAACACCTGCCCCCCCCCCAGGTAAAAACATCCCCTTGATCAACGACAGCCCCCCCCCCAGGAACCATTGCAACGCGGGCCACCCGCCTTGCTCTCCATGGCGAGGCTGTCGGCCACGCGCCTCAGCGGGTCTGCCTCCCCAGCGCTCCCCCTCAGGCGCGAGTGCACGTCCAGCATGAAGTCGTGGAAGTGCACACGACGCACCTGGGGGGTTAGGTTTGTGAGCGTGTGTGTGGGCGTTTGTGTGTGTGTATATTTGTGTGCGTTTGTGTGTGTGTGTGTGAGTGTACCCTTGTGGGTACTTGTGTTTGTGTGAGGGGGGGGGGCTGCATCAGAGGGGGAAGCGGCGAAACAAGGGTGGCGGGGGCGTGCACGCCTTGCAGGCTGCACGGTGGTCCAGCCGCGACCCGCAGGCCTGCTACCTCTGAGAAGGCAACAGCACCCTTCACCGCTGCCATCGCAAAGCCCCGCCAAGTGCGCCCTCAAATTGGAGAGCGCACCCCGTGCCTGACGCCCGGAGCCGAGACGACGGCGTCTGCCCCCTGTAAGCGTCACCACCCCCGTCAGCCCCCGACCCCACGAGCCCCACGCCGGTGCCAGGCCAACATGGTATGAAACCCCTTGCGCCACACGCCCAAACCCCCCCCCCCAAAACACTTAAGGTGTCCAGACCTCGACATGCAAACTCAGCGTCACCACCTCTCCCTCCCAAAAAGCCAAAAGTAATGGAACCGGCCGACTCTGGCTGCAGCTCACGCGTCCCACCTGGAACTCAGGGGGTGAGGCCCTCACAAACAGGTCCATGAGCATCGTCTTGCCGCACCCCACGCCCCCAAACATGTAGAGCCCCTGCAGGCGCGCGGTGGGCAGGCCCGGCTGCGGGGAGAGGCCCGAGGAGGACTGCAGCAGAGTGCTCAGACCGGTCAGCCTGTACGGGGGG